CCAGGTGGGGAGGAGGTGCTCCTCGAGGCATATAACCTCCAGAAATTCAAGAAGAACACCAATTCCTACCTTATTTTCCTTGGTTCTCACGATGTTCTCTGAACATTACAGGATATCCCTTACCGTGGGAACCAGAACATAAAAAAAAAGAAATCGCTCTAATCGCGGTGAGAAGAAGTTATAATTTGTGACTTAATCACATCCATATTTCCAGTATTGTTCTATATCTGTTGAAGATGTATGATCTGCAAAAATAGGATCGAGAGACGATAATTGAATAAATTCAAATACAAGATTCGAAATTAGTAACAAAAATTGCAGCCATTGATCAGTTGATTTTATTATTCCAGAAACTCAGCTTACTTTGGTTTTCTGGAGCTGTGTGAGCCAGAATCTGGAGAGACAGTGGTAGTTACTGCAGCGGCTGGTGCAGTCGGCAGTCTTGTAGGCCAAATAGCCAAGATTAAAGGCTGCAATGTGATAGGAATCGCAGGTACAGATGCCAAGGCGAAATGGTTGGTGAATGGACTGGGATTCGATCACAGTATCAATTATAAAAATCAGAACGTCCATGAAGAATTAACGAGAGTTGCTCCGAAAGGGGTTGATTGCTATTTCGACAATGTAAGTTTCTTTTTACCACTCATTTCATAATACCTCGGTTGGCATACCTATCTTCATCCGTTTCTGTGAAACAAGTGATAAAATACTCCCACGAGCTACATTGCAGTAGTTTATATTGTTTTGAGACACCACAGAATTCTCCAAAAATGTTCTTTTATTTTCATTTTTTTTTCGCAAGTTCTCTACTCAAGCGGATAATTATCAATATATTTGATTATAATGAAATTGACGGCAACCACTTGTATTTGAGAATTGAAAATAAGTTATCTTGGGAAATAAATATGTATCTATCTATCGATAACTCGAATCACGAGAAAACAGACTATACAGGGTGTTGATCAATTGAGTGCCGATGATGTAAGGTGGAAATCCTCACGTGATTTCGAGGAGAAAAGTTATCATCGACATATGTCCTGAACCTCTTAGTTTTTGAGCTGCACAGTGTAAAAATCAGAGGCTCACTATTGTTTTCAATCAAAACATTCGATATCAGGCCTACGTAAACATCACTGGTGAAAGTGGAAAATTGATTCTTGTTCCATGATGAAATGTGTTTTCTGTCATAGTGGGTGCCTACTGAATTTTAATAAAATACCAAAAACAATCTCGATGAACTGAAGAAAAAACATTTTTGGTTATTATTTCTCAAAGCGAGAACGATACGTCGAATGGAAGTGAGTGCATGAAGAATCAAATTTGCTCCAAAACTAATAAGGACTTTGGGTTTTTCTCTATTGGAGGATTTCAAAAATATTTTTGATTCATGAAAGAGTCAGATGCGCACCATTTTTCCTTCAAAAATAGTCACTTCAATAAGCCCCGTACGGACATCAGTGGTGAAAATTTTGAGAAGTCTTCCTCGTCAAAAAATGCTCCTTAATAATGAGATGCTGTGTAAAACTTTTCATGAAGATATCGAGGAGAGATAAAAAGTTATGATAAAAACACATTTTTCTTGAAATTTTGACACCTTGTAAGCCTAAAAATTACTGGAGGATTCACACCTTGTATTATCGACACTCAATTAATTGACACCCTGTATATGGAAAGAATAAAAACAATGAGAAATAGAGATATGGCTGATTTGAAATGAATACTTTTTCGAGTCACCTGGGTTCGTTATTTAGTGTGATCGGCGATATAACTTCATCTCTTCCTTTTAAATTCAGGAATAATAAGTATAGCAGTCAACACTTGACACTCTGGCCAAAAATATGATAAGCCCTTCTGATCTGTATCGAACAATTGTTGATTTTATTTTAAATCTGCATTTCAAAGAAACACTGTATCTAGTAATCAACCTATACTCACTAGTGACACCGCATAGTAGAACATTCAACATGAAACACCATTTTATTTCTGTCAAATTCAATAATTTCATTGATGTTTTATTCTTTGTATGACCTGTTGTCTTCTATCTATGTCTATGTCTATATCTACGCGAAGAGTATAAGAATACGAAGTTGATAATGGTTTTTAATTATGAATAATTTCAACAAATAAGTACTCACAACTACTTTCTTTGAAGAAAATCGAAAAATCCTTCACTTTACAGAAACACATTATGTTGATTGAGGATATCAAACTTGCACAAGCGCTCGTGTGGTTTTCCAAAACATAATTTGTTTCCCAATATTGAAGAAATTTCTATCTGGACAATCATCAATCATCTATCTGTATCACATAAATACGAAAAAATATCAGCCTGGCACAATGTTATCAATCATTTTTAGAATATGGATTCCATTGATTTCAGGTTGGAGGAGAAATAAGTCATATTGTTTTGGAACATATGAATTCATTTGGTAGAATTGCAGCATGTGGGGCAATTTCCCTTTATAACGGTGTCAGTAACAGATGTGAGTATCAAGTGTTTTCGCCAAACAGTGAATATGCTTCTTTTCCCCAAATTGACAGGTCGCTAATGAAACGTAATTTTATATTCTCCGCAAATATAACAAGACAAATGATTGTCAAGAATGTTGTATTTCGTGCCAGATACTTCATTCAAATTTTTCGTAGCAGAACGCTTCCGACTATACAATCATGATCAGTGCGTACCGGATAGTTAGTAAACAGCTTCTAGATATTGAGAAAATAAACGAGAGATAACATTTTGCAAATATTTTAAAAAAAAATTGGATTTGGTTGAGTTCAAATTTGAAAATCAGTAAGAGTTGTTCAATTTCCAGCTATTGAAAGAAGACATAAGAAATAAAAAAAAGTTGAGAAATGTTCAATTTAAATATAAATTTGAAAATTAGTGGAAGTGTGATTACTGACTCGTCAGGTTGACAAGAAAATCATCCATGAAAATATATTTGATCCTGTCTAGTATTGTTAACATTATGGCTAATTACGTTACAAAAAGATTAAGATTCGAAAAGGTATATTCTCAGATGAATAATGAAACATGAAGAAATGGATATATATAATATATAGAGGAATACATTGAGAATTCGCATTCTCTACGTGATGAAAATATGAATCCTTTCTTGGTTTACTCAACAGAAAACAACTACTTTCCTAGCTATATGCCACGACGAACACTGCATTATATCTATTTATATTATGTGCATATACATATTTCAATCTGAAGTGAAGAGAATGCAAATTCTCAACTTCAGAAAATTTTTGTTCTCAAATTCTTATCGTGCGTGTTCAATAGATATAATTCAATGTTCGTCGTGGCAAATATAGCCAGGATTCGTTTGTGTTGCTGAAGAGAAGTTGATTTTGTTCCCATATTGTATCTGTTCTCCGTGTCTGTTCATGGAATAATCTGAACAAAGGAAGGCATATAAATAAATCAAGTTTAGCAGTTGAAGCAAACACAAAACGAACATGTCTGAAATCTCAGGAGTCTGAGATGAAATGTCTTCCTAATCAACATCAATTTGCTCTAACTTGAATTCGAAAATCATTTATTGAATAATAATAAAATTTATATAATGTCCATCTAAGTTACTCCAAGATGATATTATTATCTTTGGAAATTGTAGATCAAGAGTAATTCTCGCATGATCAGAAACTATCAATTCCAGATGCATAACTTACTGATTTTCGTGTTTCAGCTGGATACAACCAACGCACCATTGTATCCAAGCAATTGAGAGTAGAAGGATTCATAGTCAGCAGATGGTTGGACAGATGGTTGGAAGGAATACACCAAATGGCAGAATGGGTCAAAGAAGGAAAAGTGAAGTACCGTGAGACAGTCACCTACGGATTCGATAATGTGTTCGAAGCTTTCGCCAATATGTTGAAAGGTGGCAACGTTGGAAAAGCTGTCGTCAAAGTGTAATAACATCATCTGTAGTAGAAGGCAATTCCCTTCAACTTCAACTCATGATATTGATTGTACATAAAACGTTAATCATGATTCGTCGTTTGAAAGAGGTTTGCACGGATTTCTTCCCTCAGTGGTCTTCTCCATTATGTGAACGAATAAAATATTCCAACAACTATTGTAACTAGATCATTTTTTGAACTATTACGCCAACCATCAAGGATTAGAATCATGAGAAAGTGATTTAGAGTTCCACAGTTTCTTGGTGATGTCAAAACCTGGCCATACTTGGGAACTATTCGACGTGTAAGCGACGTCGCTAAATAACGTTGTTACGAAGTCGCGAAATGATGTCGTTTCGCTGTGACATATTGACGTAACATTCAAGTCTCTATCACGTAAATGATTTCGTCATCTCGACGTAATTGAAGATAGGTCAAATATCAAGTGCGTCACTTTTTTTGGAACTGAGTGTATATTCCAATTATGTCAAACATACCCTGATTGTAAAATATACATATCATGGAATAGATACTAATTCTCGACTTCATCATCAATTTACTTCATTTGTCTGTTTTTTTGAGATAGTTTTATATATTTGTAGTGTGAACTCTCACGCGCACAAGCAATCACTTGCTTCTGTGTATATTGTTCATCATCGAACCGTAATAAACATTATTATTAATATTATTATTATTGTACGGGAGGGTAATTCCTTCTACCCGTTGTCCTAAAAGCCATTTATCCGTATAGGAATAAAGCATTTTCCCGCGGTAAAAAGTAGCCAATGTTCATCAGGAATAATGTCGGCTTTTAATGGTAAAATACAAACAAACAAAAAAACAAACAAATCTTCCTTTTTTTAATATTAGTAAGGGATTTTGAGGAATAGAACGCAAGATATTTTTGTCTCGCACTGTATTTATTTCTCATGGACCATGAATGCAAGGTGTAGGTACGTTGTTGTCGTAGCGACTAGCGATAAACAACTCAACAGTACAAATTTCACAATAATTCATTGTCAACTGTATGGATGGTTTTATATGATCATCAGTTGGTGTCTCTGTATAACTGGATGTTGATACACGACTGAATTATCAGCTATTATCTATATGTTTACAAAGCCTAACGCAATATTGTGATCTGGGTATTATAGTTTTTCGTGTTTTTGATCGTTAGTTATCACGTGAGTGGCAGAAATGGTGAGAGCAAAAGTGTATAAATATATTAAACAGTTCGAAGGTGAACCAGATCGATCCAATTTCAAGATAATAGAAGAGGAATTGCCTGAAATCAAAAATGGAGGTAAACAAAGATAACCTCTATGTTAATCCAATTATCTTTCGATTTCTTGTAAATCATAACCTGAAAATAAATGTTATTAAAATATTCATCGATAATGAATCTCTGAACTATACGGATGAAACACACGAGAGAATATTCAGCCCAACATGCCTTATAAATATATCGCATGGGGACATAATGTGTCAATGTTAGTGATTGACAGTTTATAGATTACTGCAACTTTTCATAATCTTCTCTCGATAACTGCAATGTTGCCGAGAACATTTGAGTTTTGATTTCGACGGGCAATTAGTTTGTGTACTGCCCATCAAAACATGACAAAGCATCTTCATACAACCTTTTCCCGGAGTATACATTTCATTAGGGGGCCAGGTAGCCGTGATGGATTGCCGGTCGTAGGTTCAAATCCGAAACGACTGCAGGAATTATTTTGATGGCCCAAAGAAGAGTTTGGGATCACATGTTAGAAGGTAAGCCCCCTCCCTTCCGTTATTCCTCGCTCGCACAATTTTTTTGAACACTTCTAGTGCTCGTGAGGGGGCAACCAAATGACGGATATAACAATTTTAGAATAATTTGAAACGATTGACTGAAATACTGAGATGAAGTCAAGCAATACATCTACTAATTTTGGTGAAAAAGCATTTACCATGCGATGGGTTTTTTCGAAATTTTTTTTTGTACATACGTATTTTTGTCTGAAAAACACGAATTCGATCATGAAAATGTGAACAAACCACTAATTATTGAACTCGCCATTAATATCATATTTCCTGTTGCATTATCTTTATGAAAATGTGTTATGGAAGTACATCATGAGTATATGAAGTGTCCAATGACAAAATGAAAAGAGCAAGTAGCTGAAGATGCATCCAACACAAGGGGAAAAAGAAGGTAAAATTCCGAACTTTTTCAATTGTGATTCATGATGGAATGAGAATAGTATAATGCATGCCTAAATTATTTTTTCGATATTTCATTATTACATCGAATTTTCAGACATCACTGAAATGTTTATATCTTTCACTCTGTAAACAATTACATCATCTGAACCATCTGAGTTATGTTGAGTAATATGGAGGTTCGTTAATGATATGAGCGAAGAAAATTGTACTTGGCATCTTTGAATTTCGAGAAAATAATTAAATAAAAAATACCGATTTGTAACTTCAACGCCCTGTATCTCAGAATCTGTTCATCAAAGAACTTTACGATTCTGCAGGTTCAATCAGTTCATCGAATTCTACAACATACTGAAAATTCAGAAAATTTCACCGAGAACCAATTTACGTACTAAAAGTGCGGGGTCCTTTGTAACATTATAGTGAAATATCTTAATAAATAATGGCTTGTTCACATTTTCATTATGAAATTCGAGTTTTTCAGACATGAATACGTAAGTACCAACAAAAATTTTTGAGAAAAAAACGCATGATAAATTCAGGTTTACCATAATTCTTCATCAAATGGAAGTTAATTCTCTGACTATATTCTTTGTTACAGAATTTCTGGCGGAAGCTACATTCCTTAGTGTTGACCCTTATATGAAAGCACATCCCGGTCCTGTAGGTGAAACAATGTTGGGAACACAAGTGGCTAAGTATGAGTATTTCTTCTTTATTTCGGTACAAGGTAGCTTCATTAATTCACATTTAATGTAGTGGATCACTACACAGGATGTTTCTTTGGAAAACAGAAATACGTCAACAGTATGAACATTATCCAGGTGACTCTCGAGAATACCATTGATTCTACCATCAATGCTGTCATCATAACCTAACCCTGTATATCGGTTATGAAGACAGTATTGTTGAAATCATCATTATACTATCCCCTGGTGACAGACATTATATAGTCTGTTGATGTATTTCTGTTTTCCATTCATCACCATGTATAAAGTAACATTTGTCAAAATCGAATGTTATTAGTGATTTTGATTAGTCAAATGTCTCATTTCGGGTAACCAATAGGTACTAGGTACCTATTGTATTGTACATTCATCCTGTCACTGTATTGTGTGTTGTGTGTATAGGTATGTACCTGTTATATTTTTGCTTTGTGATATTTCCATCGTTATGTGAAATCATACGTGCATCCCCATTGGCAATATACACATAGAGGATGGTCCAGACTTTTACATATCGAATTCGAGAGGCGAAACACACACGCACGCACTGGATATTTTTGATTAAATCAGTAATCTACTGGAAGAATAGCAAATAATAGCAAGCCGCGAACAAACCCAATATTTCTAGTTATTTCGGTATTCAACATCAATGGAATGAACTTCCAAATCTGTTTGTTTTTTGAAATTCCATAGAAATGGATTTGTTCTTAGACTGAGTTATCCTTTGAATCTTTCAGAGTAATAGAAAGCAAAAACCCGAAGTTTCCAGTGGGCAAACTCATCGTGGGAGGTTTTGGTTGGAGGACCCATACCATTTCTAATGGAGAAGAAGAGGCTTTCCTAGGAAAACCTTACACTCTTCCAGATTTTGGTGATCTCTCACCATCATTAGCACTTGGTGTACTGGGAATGCCTGGGTAAGCAAAATACCACAAGTGATTTACGAAATCTCATTCATATAGGCAATAGAAATTACTGAATCATTCAGCTGATTCGAATGACAATTTACTCCTTCAGGTTCTTAGTGCCAAAACCACTCTATTAATCAATTAATCATCAAAATCGGGTATTATCGGGTAATTAAGACCAGCCATGGTTCCTAGAGTTCCGAAGGTGAGAGATTCAAATTTGGCAGGAGTATGTAAATCGAGAATTGGAAAATTTTACCATATCCCACACAGCACCGGACGTCTTAAAGATGTCCATTTTATCTTCATATAATGCTTGAACGCCCACAGGCTTAAAATGGACGTCTTGAAGACGTCTATCCTAGGACGTCTCAAAGACGTCCAGAAATGGATGTCTCAAAGATGTCTTATTGACGTCCGGAAATATGTTATCAATAAAAACAATGTTTTTAGTAAAAGAGGCAGTATATTTAATTTTGATTCGGAATGAATGATTATTACTGATGTTTTTCGTGAAATTATTGGGTCCACAAGCATGAAATGGACGTCTTGATGCCGTCTTAGAGACGTCTTCTTGCTGTCTGGAAACGTCTTCGAGACGTCCAGTTTATGTACGATTGAATGTGATAAAGACATCTTTAAGACGTCCAATTTTGTAACAATGGACGACTTGAAGACATCTTATGGACGTCTTTGAGATTTAACGGGATGTCTTGAAGACGTCCCGAATGTCTTGCGTCGACGTCATGAAGATGTCATTGTGCTGTCTGGTTATTATACTCTCTCTTCACTTCTAGTTTTACTGGAAATAACTCCAACTTTTGATTTTTTTATGGGTATTTTATTTCATAATCAGTTAGGAATTATCATTAAGTATTTAATGATACCAGGCTTGACAGGGTTATTCAATACTTTTATATATACGAAGATATTTGCGTTCGAAGTCTCCATATGCTCAATTAGTGTGAGAGGGAGAGAAGTTTGTATATTGAGTTTGTAATAGTCTGAATAGAATTTTTTAGACTTCAATTTATTGTATTATTCCTCTTCTATTCATGAACTTTGTTAGATTTTTTTAATCTGTTGGTTAAGCGGTTAGGTTAGGTTCCATGTATGTGGGGCCACTGCGAACCCAGAATGTTGCGTAGTTCCACCTCATGTTCTCAGGTTTCTTCTATAGTGTTATTCCTAAGTACAGAAAACTGTCAACCTGTTTTATAATCTCTTGTCCTGATTTTGAATCAACACTTCCATCCATGAATTAGCAAGTTTTTATTCAGAACTTTCGTGCTTCCTGTTATTACTTCCAAGTCATCAGCAAACGCACAATCAGATATACCAATATTTTCTAAATAAAGGTATCCAAGAATATGATTGCTTTGGTTCTAGTTGCGTTGCTTGTATTATTTCATTCTTTATCGTTATCAATAAAGCGATCAGCCATTGATCAAGGTTGAAAGTATTGATGAATATTCGCATAGCCGCGATCAGAAATCGCTCTAATCGCGGTGTGGAGAAATGAGAATCTGTGACTGTCCAAAATTTCAATATTGTTCGATATCTGTTGAACAAATTGATCTGTGATAAGGGACCATGACCATATATTTTAGATAAGTATGCTGATACACAAAGAGTAAGCTTCATTGACTAGGCCTTCGGACAAATATACAACTAAAAATCAAGAATTCATTCTTCCCAATTATTGTTAGAACAGATCAAGAAATGGCCCGTTGTATCCATGATTTAGGGTTCGCAATCATTCACCTCCCAGTGAACAATACGCGATTCAAAACAAAGTTGAAAAAAATATTGCATCATCATGTTTACTATAATTTAAATGAATACTTTCTCCACAATTTAAAAACATCAAAAATAACTTGTAATTTTGCACCGCACACTACTTTCTTAACGCTTTATGCTGTAGAATCAGAAAAATCTGCCTATATAATTATGTGACATGACGAACAATAATTGTATTTTGATTCTGATGAGGAATAAATTTATCTATCCATCTACCTATAGTAAGAATGGTATAATAATTGAATAAATTTGGAGACTTCATTCGAAATCTTTATCAAAAATTTGAGCGATTTATTATTTGATACGATTTTTTCAGAAACACAGCTTACTTTGGTTTCTTAGAGCGCAGTAAGCCAAAATCTGGAGAAACAGTTGTTGTATCTGGAGCAGCTGGTGCTGTGGGCAGTATTGTAGGCCAAATCGCCAAAATCAAAGGCTGCAACGTGATCGGAATCGCAGGTTCAGATGAGAAGGCAAAATGGTTGGTTAATGAGCTGGGATTTGATCACTGTATCAATTACAAAAGCCAAAACGTCCATGAAGAATTATCGAAGGTTGCTCCAAGAGGAGTAGATTGCTATTTCGACAATGTGAGTTTATGAGTTGATTCCATTGAAAGGTTTTGATTGGTTGAAATATAATTGGGAACACAATATTTCCTCTTTTGTTTCCGACTGTTGATTGGTTACTGGGTAGTACCATAATGTTGTGGTCTCGTTTTCTGTTGATTCAATTCCTCGTTGGTGAATAGTAAGATATAAAAACCTTTTGACTTATCAGTATCACCATCAGAAGGCTAACAGAAATCGTCGTCTACATCACGGAATATATCATCTCATTCTTATATGTGATTAAAATTTGTCCAATCTGTGTGGACATGATAAACAGAAATTATAGTTGAAATTTATAATTATTATTTTCACGAGATCAAAATGATAGTAACATCATTCTCAAGAACATTTGGTTCTTTGATATGAGAAATTGTGGAATCCATTACATGATTGTATTTATGGTGATTTCGAGTAGATAAACATAGCTGAACATGTTGATATAAAATACATCATAACTGAAAAATCCTTTCCATGGTCTGAAGTTTTTTTACTAAATTCGCTCTTCTGAAGTGAGTGTTGAAATAATTAGGACTTTCCATCATCTTCATCACTATCGAAATAATTTCACGAACTGATGTAATTTCGTGCAGGAAATTTCACGACACTGCTTTACACTTGGAATTTTTCAAATTTATAAATAATGAATGACACTCAACACTGCAAACTTTGTCAGAAATCGTTATAGGCACTCACTATTGATTAGTTTCGAACAATTTTGGACCCATTCGAAGATCACTATATAGTAATCAACCTATGCCCACAATGGATATTGCATAGCTTCGTTAAATCCTCGACATGATACGGCGCAATTTTATATAATGAGTACATACACTTTAATTCCTTTGGTGATTCATTCCTTGCATTAGGTGTCGTATTTCTATGCGGAGTGTATCATAATACGAAGTAGACAGTGTTTTTTTATTTATGTATTATTGCAACAAATTCCAATCATTTGAATATTATTGATGATAATAATTTGTTTCTCAGCGTCAATAGACTAGTTGTATCACATACGAAAAATATCATTCTGGAAGTTATCAATCATTTTCAAAATGAGGATATTATTGATTTCAGGTTGCAGGAGAAATAAGTGATACCGTTTTGAAACATATGAATTTATCAGGAAGAGTTATTGCATGTGGAGCAAGTTCACAGTATAACAATACCAATACCATTTGTAAGTATCAAGTATATTCGTCAAGTGAATATGCTTCTTCTTTCCTAAAAATCACAGGTCCCCATTGAAACGTTTTTGAATTATCCGCAAATATACCTTCATTGTAATCTCTACCAAATATTCATAGGATTTGAATCTGAGTGATTCCAAGATGATATTTGTTTCTTTGGGAATTTCAATGCAAAAGTGATTCTTGCATGATCAAAAACCATCGGTTCCAGGTGCATAATTTGCTGTTTTTTGTATTCCAGATGGATACAACCAAACCATCATTGTATTCCAGCAATTGAGTATATATGGATTCGCAATCAACAGATGGTTGGACAGATGGTTGGAAGGAATAGTCCAGATGGCGGAGTGGGTCAAACAAGGAAAAGTGAAGTACCATGAGACGGTAACCGACGGATTCGATAATATGTTCGAAGCCTTCGCCAATATGCTGAATGGTGCCAACGTCGGAAAAGCTGTCGTCAAAGTGTAACAACATCTATGGGAAGAGGAGATTCAAGAAAACACAATCTTCCGATATTTATATGATTTGATATGTGCAGAAGTATTCATCTTTTATCATTGTAGAACCTATATATCAGCTAAAATAACCGCTGTAATATAATTCGTGACTACTTTCATGTTTTGTCAAATCATTGAGGGTCACCCATACATACATAAATGAATGAATGAATGACCTATTACATTCGATCTTGAAAGCTTTTACTTATATGCGATAACGAAGTTTCTATATTCTTCGCTGATGCTTATCGTGCTCCTGCAAACACCTTACAGCCCTGCTGCTGTATTGCTCATTCGGATTGCACTCTAAACTACATCCTACCGAAAATGGCTCTTACCGGTTGAATCCCTGGGCCTCAGTCTCCAATGTATAACTACTGCTGAAAGTGCTGAACATAATAAGGATTCCTTTTGGTGCCCTACAAGTTTTAGAAAAAAACTCCTTGGAACAACAATTGCACTCGTCCTGGCGGCTCGTGGTGTTGATCGACAACACAATTTCGTGAACAATAAAGCGACAGAACAATCTCGAATTTTCGGAACATCGTGATATCACTCATGATAAGAACTTGTCAACTGAACAATTCAATAGAAAAATGGCTCGGTTTTCTCAGTTCACTTCGATTCACTACCAATAATCCACAGATACTCATCATAAGAAATGATTGTGATTCGAGAAAAGGCATTTTGATCGAATCTTTTCAGTTCTAGTAAAACTTTCAATTGATTCCGTCCCCGCGAGATTAACCCGTCGAGTTGAGGCTTCGCACCCCATCGTGGTCACTTTGCAGACCTGCAGAACATCTCTTTCCACAGACTCGTTCATCCAACGAACAGCGAGGCTCTGGAACACATCGCCAAGGGAGATGTTCCCCGAAGCATATAACCTCCGGAAAGAAAAACACCAATTCCTACCTTATTTCCCCTGGTTCCCACGATGTTCTCTGAACATTACAGGATATCCCTTTTCGTGGGAACCAGAACATGAAAAAAAACATTAGAATGTCACTACTATCATGACACGTTGGAAATCGAGTGAGCAATGCATGCATAATTGACTTGATAGTTGAAGATGATTGGATTGAAGGAACGACAGCATTGGATCAACGATTTCAACGATTTACCTGGGAGCTGCAGACAAACTACATCTCACTGACAGACGGCTAGTTATCCCCGTGGAGGCTATTCCACAAGTCCAACCGTATCGTTGAATGTATTGTACAAATCCCGGGGGTCAGTAAATTGTTGCCAGCCAACGACCGATCCTACGACTCCATAACGTTCGTCCAGACGTACCCCAACAAGTGATTGAAAGTTATGGAGGCGTGCAGAGAAAATTGTTAGGAGATTGCACGTGATCACTTCCCAAATTGAAAAGAATGATTAGACGGAGAAATATTGCGGAATGTGTGGGGAAGAATTTTGGTCCAGCGGTGAGGTGGAGTTCTATACTACGAATCAGAAAAAGGGAGAATACGATAGTCATCACTATGAATGGCAAGACAATACAGAAGAGTTAGCCATGTATATAAATTCGAATTTTAATTCACAGTTGCAACTGTTCGTATTTCTCCATCGAATTACATATTTAAATATCACATATATGTTTATACATGCCACTAGTGGAATTATTTCGAACAACCCTTTCACAGGGGTAGGTTATTCCTGCAGTTTTTCAAAAATCCTAGCTGACCAAGCATTTCTGGTTCGTATTTTCCATCAAATCACATATTCGGATATCTTATATAGATATATAGATGCTACCAGTAGAGTTATTTCGATACACCCCTTTATATAGAGGGGTAGTTAATTCTTGAAGTTTTCCAAAAATACTTGCTGACCGAGCATTTCTGGTTCGTATTTTTCTATCAAATTACATATTTGGACATCTCATATAGATTTATTGATGCCACCAGTGGAATTATTTCGATCCACCTCTTCAGAGGGTGAATTGATGAAAAAATACGGACCAGAAATGCTCGGTCAGCAAGGATTTTCGAAAAACAGCAAGAATAAGCTACCCCTCCGAAGGGGTGGATCGAAATAATTCCACTGGTGGCATCTATAAATCTATATGAGATATCGAAATATGTGATTTGATGGAAAAATACGAAGCAGAAATTCTCGGTCAGCAAGGATTTTCAAAAAACAGCATGAATAAACTACCCCTCTAAAGGAGTGGATCGGAATAATTCTACTGGTAGCATCTATAAATCTATATAAGATATCTAAATGAGTAATTTGGCGAAAGAAAAAAAGAACCAGAAATGCTCGGTCAGCAAGGATTTTTGAAAAACGGCAAGAATAAACTACCCCTCTGAAGGGGTGGATCGGAATTATTATTTTACTGGTGGCATCTATATATTCATGAATAATATTCAAATATTCAATATGGAGAGAAAAATCGAACCAGAAATGCTTGGTCAGCATATTTTAAGAATTTTATGAAAAGCAAGACGCATTTATCGATTTATTGAGAGTGAATTATTCAGTAAAATTTATTGTCAGAGTATAGCATGGTGAAATGCCGCTTCTACTAAAACATAAAGTATGGTCCTGCACTATTGTTCGCGTTGTTAAAATTATTTGTTCGAATCTACTACTATTTAGGTATCATGTAGGTATCATTCATTAACTACAATTGACATTCAGTATCATCTCTCCATTATCAACCTGTAAATATTGACGCTATCAGTTTACACCAACATGACGTGTACATCGGTCAGTATTTAGTGATCTAATTGGACAATTGTCCCCAGTTGATCATGGATACTCCATTTCAATATGGAGCTCTTTGAATAATGGTATATCCTTCAGGGACGGTCGCTGATGTTGCAATGTTCTCGAAATATTAATATGTTGGATGCCATATGTAAATGAGGCCACCGTTATTGATTGATGTACAATTTTTAGGTGGTTACTCTAACACAGGCAGCTTAGGGTGACCTATAATAGAATACTGCATGTGGGGTGCAGATTTGACGGCAGAAAATAATAATATATGCCATGAAACCAAGGAAGGGGGGTGAATAATCATGAATAGCTCCTGTATGGGATCACACGATTCAATGATTCTTCAGTGACTATGATACAGGAGAATATATATATAGTGTGATCAAGATACAAAAACTCAATAGAACCCGATGGAAAATTATCTTTTTCCTTGGAACATAATGATATGCTCTAGAATGTTTCGTTTCTTTTACAAAAATCTTGAATATTTCAACGGTGTTGGTAAATTTATCTGAGATTTCGTACATTCACTAAGGTGATTAGTCTGCAACAACAGTATGTCATTATATTATGTCGATCAACTCACATTGTGGTACATATTTTGGTTGATTACAAAACCAATAAAATTTGTTTTCATCAGTATACTACCATGCAGACTTTTATACCTTTCCAATTCCTCTCTCCTAATAACTTTTTATATTTTGTTCAAACAGCAAGATATATAGATTTCAATTCCTTTGCAACCGTTCCATAGCATATTGTTAACAAAATGAAATAATGATATTTCATCGAGTTCAGTCGATATCTGAAGTATCAGTTATAAAATCATGATCATCTGTACAGGCAGAATTTTTTGATTTTCTTTGAACTAGTTTATGATGTAACCTGATATTCTGATGAAGCCATATTCAGCATTAGCTTCAAGCATGAAGAAGTTTTGCAGCAGAATGTAGAATGTTTTTAGCATTGAAATTGTCCTTGACTCAGATGATCCAATGCAATCGAGAGTACTTTAGAGTTGGACAATGTAGTGTTTTTTTGATGCCTTTTGGAAAGAAATCGACGTACGCGATGAGTGATGAAATGTTATAATTTTTCGAATCTATATTATTCATTCGGAAATTACGAATAGACCATCGTAGGAGGTCTGAAAAAATGTATTCCAATGTTCAGTTGGAGCTGATATGACCAAACCATACTATATATCTGGAAAAATAAGAATATTCCTTCAAATTTCCTCTGGCCGCTAATTTTATTTTTTTTAAAACTCATTCTCACGCATTCTCCAGCAGTGAAGTTTACAGCCCACCTGTTTGCATATGAAATGAAATTGGCCATAAAATATGTGAGTTCTCGCTTTTTTCAGTTGCTATCAGAGTTTTCATAATGAGCAGAATTCCGCAGTGAAGCTTTCCTCACTCATACCAGGTGATTTTCCGAACAAAATTTGGGGATTGTGAATTATAGTTCAGTTGACATTTCTTGACATATTTACTCGCTTTGCCGTACTTCCGGTTTGACCAAAAATTACCCTAACTTTCGTAATCGGTTACAGGAATTATTCGTTATTCTTATCAAAAGTGAAATTCTGTTATGCCCATGTTGCTCACAATCATAACAGAATATCACATGATTGTGAGCAACATGGGTATAACAGAATTTCACATGTGACCAATAAGTTTCTGATAAGACTCTTAATAAATTAGTTTTAGATGTTTCTACAAATTGTGTTGTATTTCAACTATGATGTGCACTAGCTGCGTCTTATGTAACTACTCAAGTTAGTGAGTTTTTTCGAAGACAACATGAGATACCATACTTATAATGGGTCTCTGTTTTTTCAGATATCGTGATAATAAAAATAAAACTTTTCGAATGCTCGACAATTCAACAAAGATTTTTTTCTCTACATTGGCCACCCCCTTTGACTAGTTTGACTGCAATTTCAAGGAAATAGTATATTTATAAGTTTGAAGCAATATTAATAATTTTAACACCTTCAAATCGACCGGAAAAATCTAGAATCTACAATTGAAACGTAATTGAGTAATGATTCTATTTTACAAAAAATATAAAATAATAGTCAACTCGGCTATTATAAAGTAAACAAGAAACCACAAAGAAAATATTTCGATTAGTTTTTATTAGTTCATAATGTTGAGGTAATGAATATTCTTTGGATATTCCAGCAACGAGAGAATACTGAGAAAACTGAGGAAGGATACTTTCTGATTTACCCTGTGAGAAAGGGTGAAAGAGTTATTGATGAGCAAGTGTCATTGCATGTCCCTTCTGAATAGTTAGCAGGCACAAAAGCCGGATTAATTATGAATTTTTCAAACTAGGAATGTTTAA